AAATATCGGGTTTTCACTCGCACGCACGCGCCACGTTGATGCTTGACCATATTTTATAGCCCGATCGATAGTGTGAAATAGTGTAGAAATAGTGTTTTGGATTCTGGTTCCAATAATACTATTACGAAAAAGATATGCCCAAACGGGCCGAAGTTTATATGTTCGGCGAAATGTATGGCTAGTTTACATTTACATTGTTCCTTATATTATGAAATATGATACCATACCTTACTTGTATTAAAATTCGCGTCGAACTAATGTTATTGTATTATAAAGCAAATGAGAACCATACAATAAATGTTTTAGTCCTTGTTGGTATTTTGAACGCACCGCTTTATCTTTACTGTAGCGCACAAAGCTCTTCTCGCGGATTATATTTCGCGCAGTACTAAAATTTGCGCACCCAGCGCTACACGAATTCTAGTACTGCGCGAATTTTAATACATGTATGTAAGATATATTGTCGACATTTGGCTAAAACTATCGTAAGGAATTAGGAGATTTTGTTCAATTAAAACTACGTTGTGTAGTCAAATTGTCAACCTTAACTTGTCCTTGTTCATATTCCAATATATTGTATAAGTTCGCTGGGTCCAAATTTTGGGGGTTTTCGAGTCGTTTAATTTAATACAAAAAGAAAAACATTAATTCAACACGTAAGAAAGTCCAGAGTGCGACACAAAAATGAACAGAAGTACACATGTTTATGAGTCTACAACGTATATTTATAGTTGTTTATTAAAGTCAACTCTGTCAAACCTTTAAATTGTCCTTGTTACTTGTATTCCACTATATTCTATGTTAGGATAGGGAGATAGGGACTCAGGAGGTCTGAAACTGGTAATTGTGCGCGTGCGTACAAGTGTATGCGCTAATAAAGAAAGATGTACCACAAGCATGACATGAGCCGGCTACTACGTACATAGATACGAGCTTGTTACGATGAAAAGTAAATCAAGCAGTCGAAGAATCGATGGCATTTGGATCGATTGCATTTTGGCTTAATCGTTGCACCTTGAGCCTGCGATGCGCTAACGCAAACTCCATTTCTATTTCTCGACGACGAAAACAGAAAACTAGGGATTTAAGACACTTGACCTTTCAGGTCAGTGTAATTATTCAAACCCTAGAACCTTTTAAAGTGTAAATTTATCGAATTTGCTAAATTTTCAGGGTTTTTTAGGTATTTTTGAGCAATAAAATGATTCAAATATGAATAAAATTTGTATTTTTTCCATTTTTGAAAAAAATGTCAAATTTCACTCAAAACACCACTTTGCGTTGCTGTAAAGCTATGTTTACACGCTGCGATTAATCGTGTACGATTCGTTTTCTGGCGTATGTCAATAGGGAGCTTAAGATGTACCAAATCTGCGACGCGGACGCGACTAAAAATCAGTTGATAATAATTGGAAACTAGTTACCAACAACAATCCATAGTAATTTCCTGCAATCCAAGGAGAAAGAAAAAAAAATCATACAGCATACAACCGAGAAAAAAATATCATGCAAAAGAGAGCGCTCAAAAAAAAAATTCCTACATGTCAATCTACTGACGTACGTTCTTCACTTTAGTATTGTGTCCACAGGCTTGCAAGATTTTGCATTTTTGAGCAGGCACATTTGCTTAAAAGAACACGGGTGAACAGTGGACTACATCACAGGGATTCTACCGCCTTTGAAGCCTATAACATACGATAGCCAGTGGCGTTCCCTGGCAAACTTGTTGCCCCCGCTGAGAAAATCTTGGCTTAAGCCTGGTTCACATATGCCTGCGGTATGCCTGCGACTGTATCATTATGCCTCTACTTGCCGCCGAAATACCGGCAAAGTTGAACTCAAGTCAACTTTCCCGCCCTATCGCCGATGTAACTGTGGCACTGGAGGCAATCGGCGAACAAATATTCACGTAATTTACGTCAGGGCCTTTTTTAAGGATTTTCCCGTGGGGGGGGGGCATTTTTTGAAAAGGGACCTTTCTGTGAGATAATATATTACAGGGAGATAGCAATGGCTGAAGGCCACGTGTGTAACCAACATACCATGCACGCATGGATGGGGGTGGGTCTGGGGGTGTACACCCCCAGAAAATGTTTGAAATTTGAAGCACGGAAATGCCATTTCCTGCATTCTGAGCAACCAAATTTGCTCCAAAATGTATGCTAACTATACTTGTATTTGAAATAAAAGAAGGAAAAAACCAACAAAAAGTAAAAAAAAATATTAACCATAATTTATCATTACTTATTAGAGGAGGATACCAATGGTTACGTGTGTGGGGGTGTACTCCCCCAGAAAATGTTTGAAATTTGAAACACGGAAATGCCATTTCCTGCATTCTGAGCATCCAAATTTGCTCTAAAATTTATGCTAACTATACTTGTATTTGAAATAAAAGAAGGAAAAAATGCACAAAAAGTAAAAAAGAATATTAACCGTAATTTATCATTTTACTTATTAGAGGGGGATACCAATGGCCGAAGACCACGTGTGTGGGGGCATAATCTCCAGAAAATTTTTCAAATTTGAAACCTGGAAATGCTATTTCCTGCATTCTGAGCATCCAAAAAATAAAAAAATTATTAACAATAATTTATCATTACTTAGTGATAGAAAACCGTAAGAATTTAAATCGATTTTGTTAAACAAGGACAAAGGATAAAGCCCAAAACTTTCTTTCCGTTTATTTATTTGTTGTTCTTCGCTGTTTTGTTGGTATAAATTTAGGAAAAAGGGACTTTTTCTGGTGGGAGGGGCAAAATGTGATTTCGTGGGGGGGGGGGCACAAGGGAGGACTGGGGCATTTGCCCCCACCCCCAGCTTGTATGTTAAAAAAGGCCCTGATTTACGTTTTAAGCTACCACCGGCATCGTCGCCGGTACGTCGCAGGCACGTCGCAGGCACGTCGCAGGCATATATGTGAACCAGGCTTTAAGATATGTACAAGTTTATAAGTTATTTATACATATCTAATATGCATGGTAGAAAAAGTATTTTTGGATGGTTGAGTCTGTGTGCGTTTTTTGATAACATAGCTCCAAACTATTAAAGCTTCAAAGGCCCATCTACAGCATCTACAGGATGCAAGTTCAACGTACTGTATATACGATGATTTTAATGCGAAAATGCCAGTTTAGAGAGTCTAGATTTTAAAAAATTTCTGAAGAGGATGCAACCCGATCCCCAACAAGCTATTTGTATGAACGATTGAAAAGTTATTGAGCTATATTTGGTGGAACATTGTTGTTTCGGAGGGCAGTTAAAAATCGCATTATTGAAATCTTGTTTTATTACATAGTAATCAAAGCTCATTTTGTGATTTTCCCTTGTTTAAAATAAAGGACAGTAAGCGTTCCTTAGGCTTAGTAGAGCAAAGTTGTTGGACGAATCCAAGGCTGAAAAAGCAGGAAATTACATTTCCGAGGTTCAAATTTTAAAATTTTCTCGGGGGAGCATGCCCCCGAACCCTCAAGGTTACAGTTCATCCATATACTGTACCTCCTCCATTTTCGAGTACTCTACTCTATCCCTGCATATTTTAGTTTTGGTGCACTTATAAATTTTTTGTAAGTAAACCTGCATGCACGCTTTAGTGTGAGGAACATTAAGACAACCATATAAAATAAAGCACAGTGAAAATTCCTTGGCCCCTCTGGGATTCAGTTCTCGGCCTTCTCTGACTGAAAACCCCGGCTACATCTCTGACGATAGCTATATGAAAGCCTTAAGTTACTGTAAGCCGTAATTATGAGGGGCAAAAAAAATATCCTGCCGCGAAATATACTGGGCAAAAATATCTTGCGCTGCACTTTCACAGGAAAAAAATGTCTTATTCCCCGGGGCCGAAAAAAATTCTTGCACAGACTCAATCTTCCAACCCCCTCAAAATCAAATAGTCCGCCCCTAAAGTATTTCTTAGGGGTGTGGAGGATTTTTTCTGTTTGAAATAAACCCAATCTCGTTCCCAGAGCTCAACGATGGCTCTCTGAGTACGAAATTGAAACCAAAAAATAATTTTTTCTATTTTTTCTTACTCTCAACCCATCGCTAGTATGTCAGAAGCAGAAACAGAAAAGAATGGTGACGAATCGGAGACTGCGGAAAATGTTGAGTGAAGATATATGGTTACCACTACAAGAAGTGGGAGAGCTATCACAAACTGGAGAGTGGCGAAATATAGATAAACGCAAGACAAATGTTAAAACAGAATTATTGATAGAAAGGGGGGGTGGGATATGAAAATTTTCACTTACATTGAAAGGGGTTACGAAAATTTTTCCATAGGTTTTTGGGAGGGTATGGAAATATGTACTTGAAATTTCATTTACTACCTTTTCGTAGCGCTTTGCATTGTGGTTATAGTGGTATCACTGGTATTCAAGATGGCTTATTTTTTGTCCTGACCCGTGCAAGAACATTTAAAAAGCTAGGGTCAGGTGCGCGATAGCCAACAGCAAAATATTCGCGAAAACATTCAATATTTTCATTCGAGGCCGCTATCTTTATCAGTGATATCACTATAACCACAATGCAAAGCGCTACGAAAACGTAATAAAGGGAATCTAGTATTGCCATACCGCTCAGTCTAAAGAACCTATTTTATGTGTGTTTTATCCTCACGGCATAGTCAACGGTAGAGCGCCCACCTTCCAGTTCTCGTTACAGTTCACCTGTACGTCCAGATAATATACCTCGAGATAATATACCTCCACAATGGCCTGTGTCGCCAATTAAGCAATAGAAAACTCAGAAGAGGGCCATAAATCGTTGAGTGAGTGGCCCAGCAAAAATGCTGAACGAAAGTTACCAGGTGATCTAGAGTCGTTAGGAAAAATGCTTTTGCGAGGACATATAAATAGTTAGCAAACGCAGCATGGAAGAACATAAACATCAAGAAACAACTCCAACTGTTAATTTTAAATGGCATAAATCGAGAATGTTCTGAATAATATACGTTAAAAACATACTAAACAAAAGTTTTAAAACTGTTTAACAATTTACGTACTTTTTAATTTTAATTTTAACAGAAATTTTCATAGAGAAATTGTGTAGTATATAATATCATGTGCTCTCTTTAACTCTTAAAATTTTATTCTATATTCTACCAGATTTCACAATAATGTGGTCAGCATCAAAAACATTTTGAGTTGACACGTAAGTTTTATGTTACAGAATCTAAATATCGCAGTTTTTAAACCCAAGCCATTGTATGTCAGTCCTGCCCCCAATGCCCCACATATAGACGTCCAGAAAACCGCACTTCCGTCACTCAATTTTAGGCACAAAGGATTTGCGTGATTTACCAACCAAAGGCTCAGACTTTTCTATCTGGTTTCCCGCACTTATACTACACTCGTGTCCGAGTGAAATTATGCTTAACGTCTATCAGTGATAACTTTAAAAGAGCAAATGCTAATTTTCAGATTATGGTCATTGCCAAAGTCATTTTGGAACTTTTTCGACGATCTTTCACATAACATCGTAGCAAATGTTCTTTGAAAACATTTTACAACAGTTTACAATGTCTGTGTACACAATAAAACGTTGAAAAACATGTGTTACGTAGAAGTCAATCCTACTTTTTGTCGAGCGCCAGACAATCGCTCTTCGAACACTTTTTTTCAATTGCGCATGTGTCGTCGCAAACTGTTCTGAAGATCGTCAAAAATCGTCTGGTGGAGATCCGCCTTTACAACACAAATCTTTTGTGACTTTAAACGGTTCGTAAAAACTTGTTTCTACAGTTTATAGCTATACACGCTTCAAGCTAACCATTCCAACCAACATTATTATCGTCTTTAACTTAAACATTTTCATGATCACATTTAGATAGATCTGCCCATCTGATGTCGTATATTTTGTTAGTGAATGTTGTACAAAATTCTACTACTAATTACCATTGCATTTCCCCCCTTCATTTCTGTTTTTAGTTTTAGCCCGTTTCCATCATCTTCGCCATTACAATCTGCATCACCAACATCGGCTTCGTCACCAGTTGCGCCATCTTGATCAGCAGTTGCGTCACCTTGATCACCAGTTGCATCACCTTGACCAACAGTTGCGCCGTCTTGACCACCAGTTGCGCCATCTTGACCACCAGATTCGGCACCTTGACCACCAGTTGCGCCACTTTGATCACTAGTTGCGTCACCTTGATCACCAATTGCGGCACCTTGACCACCAGTTGCATCATCTGGATCTCCAATGTCACTGTCCTGATCTCCAACGTCGTCTTCGCTGTCGTTATCTTCGATAGCCTCCTGTCCAGATTTCATATACTCATACTTTCTTTTCAGGTTAGTATGGTTTTGCCTCTCCAAACGTAACTGGTCTACTAACTCCTGCCTAGTCATATACTTGTAACAACAGTAACGCTTACTAGGTGTTTCTTTTTTACGATATTGTTTTCTCTTCTCTTGGTTTACTTTACGATGTTTGCACTTCTTACAGTGTCCCTCTGGAGAAGCGAACAACTCGCAGTTTTTAGAAAATACTTTTCTACATTTAGTAGTTATGCTCGCTGAACTGTGCTCTATAAAATTGCCTACAGTTGCTAACGGATCCAATAATATAATATCCTCTTTCTCCTCTGATAAAAAGTACCCTGTACATATTGGGCTCTTTTCAATAAATTCGATCGTAGTCGATACTTTTCCTGAAATTGTCAAGTCTTTGAGGACATTATCGAAATCCATGACATCATTTAAATTAACTACACTCCCATGTGAACGCAGCGTAAACGAAACACTGTTCGAATGTTCATGATCAACGGCAACTAATAGATCTACACATCCCCGCTGATTACAAAATTCCCATCTTTCCATTCTAACGAAGCTCACACGATGAGGAGAATCAGTAACAATAACCCAATTAGAAGGTATTGTATCCTTCAAACTTGGCAATCCGCTCACTTGCGCTTCATTCTCTTCCCGTGTGTACTGCCGAGAATCATTGTTAGAATATTCTCTTTTGTCTTTTCTGCTCAGATTTCTATAGCAACTTTTCCTTTCTTCTCCACCAGTTTTACCATGATATATATTTTTACCAAACAAATCCTCCGCAGCCTTATTCAGCACGGCCTTGGTAGGTTCGTCACAGGCAAGGTTCTGTTTATCTTTAAGTGAATGTAGGTAAATATCAGATCTGAGGGTAAAAGAAGAATCTTTGAATTCGTAGTTCGACAGCACCCTAAAAAAGCGTGAAATCACTTGTGAAATATAATCTGAAAATAACGCGTGCCCGAATACAATCACAGCTAATACAAAAAATATATAAAAAACGTACCACAAAAACTGAAAGCAATACTACATCTTGGGAGGAGGCAGATATACCCAACTCATGCCTACTATATATTTTTTTCGAAATTAACGTGCGCATTTTGGGATTCGATGTAGATTGATGGATATCCATCACACCTTTGGAAAACATGTGTTTTCGTGAATGAAATGGAAATATTGATGAACGATATAAGAAAAGAATTAAGATTAAAGAGGCAGCAATGAAGTGTTAACAGGAGTTTTATGTTACGTAACATGCGCTCAAAACTAATTAGCATAATATACGTTATACACGTTTCCCAATCGGCAAATAAACTTAAAATATATGCATGTTTAGTACTTTATCTGTAAAATACTGCTAAAATGAAGAGATTTTAGATGGGTAAAAACAAAAAATGACAAAACACTAGATGGTTCAAGTTGAAAGCGAAGAACTAGGAAGTCTTCATGTTAACTATTACATATAAATAAATATTACAGTGGCACATAATTACTGTATTTGTATAGTCCGGCACTGATTTAAAAAAAAATCAAGTTTTAAATCGCAAAACAGATTTTGAGCATTAAAGTTTAAGAGAAATTGTGTGGTATAATACCATAAGCTCTCTTAAAATTTTATTCTATATTCTCTACCAGATTTCACAATAATGTGGTCGGCATCAACAACATTTTGAGTTGACTCGTAAGTTTTATGTCACGGAAACTAAATATTGCAGTTTTTATAAAACTCAAGCCCTTGCATGTCCTGCCTGTTTTTGTACACCTGTTATTGTACCCTTATAGACAGTTCCGTATAATATTATATTGTAATCTTTTGCAGACAATTTGAGCCCTAAACCCAGGTTCCCAGAAAGATAAACAAATTTCCAATTTTTGTGCTATATTATAAAACAAATATAAAACTTTTTTCCGTATTTATATACAGTTATATCAACACTCGTGGAAATTGGGAAATTTCTCGTTTTCCCAATTTCCACTCGTGTTGATATATAGAGGATATTAGACGGTTGCGAAGAGATATGGATATTGTTTTTGACAAGAGAACATAAATCCATATCTTCTCGCAACCGTTTAATGTTCTGTTTATTATATGGACTTTAATACTCAGAGTGACGAAAATACACACAAAGACGACATGTAAATAAGCACGCGAAAGACCAGTATAAAAGCGATATTCTTTTAAATTATAGTGCAAACATAAAACTAGAATAAATTTTACTTATCTCAAGATGTCTTTTAAATGTTTTCGTTTTATTTCCAACGTTAATTTCGTTTTAAATACGAACCAAAGACCATTTTCAAAACAGCAACAATGAAAATGGCGGGAAATGTTCGAACTTCGTATGTCACTAGCAGGGGTGAAATACGGAAAATACGCGCACCTGGTCCCGGATGTAGTGACGTATGAGTTCTACGAGTGTTTTAGTTTCCAGTAAAACACCATTGTCCATATAATAAAACTGTATATCAACACGGAAAATGTTTTATATTTGTTAAATATATACATACTAGTTTTAGAACTTCATAATTTTATAATATTTTCATAATTTGTATTATTATATAGTAGAGAGTGAGATACTGAAAAATACACAGTGAGATATTTTCCATATCTTCACTAGTGAAAATATCGATCACGTGACTTTTTCCAATTTGCTTTTGAGCGTGAAATTTCACAATTTTTAGCTTGGGACTATATAATAAACAGAACATTACAGTGATTACACGGTGGCTTGAAGATATGACTATCTTCTCGTGTTAAAAACAATATTTTACTCACTCGTTGCGCTCGTTCGTAAAATATTGTTTTCACCACTCGAAGATAAAAGTCATATCTTCGCGCCGCCGTGTAATATCCTCTATTTATACAGTATTTCATAGTTTATTGGCACGTGCGCGTTTTAACGAGCTATTTCTCCTAAGTGTATAAAGTGGATAAATAAATTATTGATTGATTGATTGAGTACTAGGGGCAGCATACTGTAAGTGGGCGAAAAATAAGAAATTCCGAAAAATTACATATTCCATTGTGTAAGACCAAGACAGGACAAAGATCATTTTCTTATAGAATTGTCCATATTTGGAATAACTTTCCATCCTTTATAAAGTCAAGTGAATGTTTAAGTAGTTTTAAAAGTAAATTAAGGAAGCATCTCCTAAATGAATATTTGACAGCCAGTTTTAAAAACATAATTAGTAATATTTGCATGTGTTTTAGTTAGGATTAATTTATTGTCCAGTGTTGGGGAATTGTCAATAAAGTATTGTATTGTATTAAATAATATGTATGAGTAGAGAAAAGGAATATAGTTATACTACATAAAATTTAAGAAATGAGAACAAAGTCATCATTCCAAGCTTTGAAACTTACTTAATGAAAAATTCTGTAGCAGAGGAGCCATATATTGTCTGGAATTTACTTAGCAAATAGACGAGTTAGAGAATAGATAGATAGATAGATAGATGATTTATTTCTTAAAACTAGCAGCCGAAATAGAACTGAACTAAAATGAACAAATATATTTAACAATTATTCAATGAAGGCGAGGTGATCATGGGGGAATATTCACCGAGACGAAGTCGAGGTGAATATTTAACACTTATTTACTTGGAGCGAGGGAAACAGTATGTTTTGTGGACCCGAGACCGTCGATGCATGTTCCCGAGGCGAAGCCGAGTGAAACATCGACGGTCGAGGGTCCACAAAACACACTGCTTTCCCGAGGTCCCAGTAAATAAGTATTGTATTTTATTATATGGCAAGCATTTGTTTTGACGAATCGTGCGATTTGATTGGCTGCTGACGAGGCAGGATTTTCCCGTATTGCCCACGGGCAATACGCAATTTTTATTGCCCAGCGACGACAGCCGAGTTTCAAACAGCAAAAAGTGTCTAAAAGTCTTTCAAAACTATTCAAAACGAAGAAAAATAAACCTAAACTAAAGAAAAGGAGCAACTGCTGTGGTTAAAGAACTTTCGCCATACGTTTTTGTTAGCGAAAGTCAAAATTACAAGGTAAATTTTAATGTTTATAACAATAAAAGCAGTCAGGAATAGTTGTGTTTTGACAATGCGAAGGAATTTGACATCATCCTAAATAAAAAACTACAACTAAAACAGCCACAGATTTATAATTTTCCCCTGAAAATTTCTGTTTTTGTTAGATAAAAAGAGAAATAAATATGAGATGAAGCGAACAAAAACGTACTTGTTTTTGTAATTTTATTGAATTTTATTGTTTTCATATTTGTTGTCTTTGATTAAATGACGAAATACCTCGTATTTTTCTTGAAATACTATCCAAACTGTGTTAGTATTCTATATAAAAAGTACTGTAGAGCAGTTTTACTAACCAAAGAACATTTTTTACAATTGTTTTTTTTTGCAAACTGTTTCGGACTTTGTACTTTGCCCTCGCGTGACCTTTTCTTCCATTTTTTACAAACGTACAATGCCATATAATAAAAACTTACTGACCTCAACCGTTCGGGCAGTACGGGAAAATATCCAACCTCGGTCTTGCTGTATTGACCTCGCTATCGCTCGGTCAATACAGCAAGACCTCGGTTGGATATTTTCCCGTACTGCCCTCACTCTCGGTCAGTAAGTTATTAATATTTTTGACTAATCTTCTGTGTTAAATATCAATTTTATTATATTTTACGCTATTGTTTACACCAAATTCCCCATATTCTCGTCGCTCTTGTTTTTATAATGTCAATCACGCTATAATTGCCTCTGGCGTCATTACTATAAATATCAATGTCAAATAGTCAATTTCGGATTATATTAAAGTTCATAGTTTATCTACACTCCCCCCTTGACCATCGCGTCAGCGTTGGTCAAAAAGTCTGCGAACAGTATCTGCTTTGATAGCTGCCTTTCGTCTAGCTGGTTTCGATGATTCAACTGTTTCGTTCTTTTCTTCAGATAATTTCTCCTGCTCGCTAACTGCGTTACTGTTGACTTCCAATGGACAGAGTCTTTGAATTGGTCTTCGTAGGATCGTATGGGATCCCTTCTTTGCGACTGTTCACAACTCTTGTCTCTCCATCTCTACCTTTCATCAATTCCTTAACTTCTGCAAGTTTCCATTTCGATTTCGGTAGTCCATCATCCTTTATCAATACAACATCTCCTACTTGAATTCTTCTCCTTGATTTGGTGGATTTGCTATTGTGAAATTCTCTCAAGTCTACTAAGTATTCTCTAGACCATCGTTTCCAAAAATGTTCCAGTAATTTGCTTAGATAACGTGCTCTACGTTTGAACGTTGCTTCCGAACGTTCGTCATCACTAAGCTGCCCTTCACTTGGTAATGTGGCAAGCCGTCTCCCGATGGTCAGGTGTGAAAGGGTTAATGGTTCCTCAGTAAGATCTGGATAAACATAAGTAATAGGTCGCGAATTCAGAACTCCTTCGATTTCGGTCAGTACTGTCATGAATTCCTCGTAACTCAATTGAGCTCGTCCCAGAACTTTGCGTAAACTTTGCTTAACAAGTTTAACCATTCGCTCGTAGTAGCCACCCCACCACGGCGCTTTTTCTAGAATAAACTTCCATGTGATACCCATATTCTCTGCAAATTGTTGTAGATTTTGTCCCTCAAGTATCTTGATTATTTCCTTGTTTGCTCGTTTGAAAGTTTTTGCATTGTCCGATGTTATCGTCGCCGGCGTACCTCGTCTTGCAGTGAATCTCCTTAAACATCGGATGAAAGCTTCGGTAGAGAGGTCAGGCGTCAACTCTAAGTGAAGTGCTCTACACGTCGCACACGTAAACAGATGTAAATTTTCTTCATCTCCTTTTCGTGACCATTCATTTCCTTTACATAAACCGGACCAGCGAAATCGACTCCAACGTGGGTAAATGCAGCTGTTTCTGTAACTCTCATTTCGGGTAGATGACCTGGTTGAGGTGGTCGGAAAGTCACACCTTGGATTTTCTTGCACGTTACGCACTGTTGTAGAATCTTTCGCACGAATTGTCTTCCTTTCGGGATCCAATAAACACTCCTAACCTCTGCTAGCGTTTCCTTTGTACCTCCGTGACGAATCTTCTCGTGACACGATTTAACAACAAGAGTGGAAAGATGGTGGTTTCGTGGTAGTAACACTGGATGTCTAGTTTCGTCTGGCAGTGATGCATGATCCAATCTCCCTTTGCACCTCAGGATGTGTTCTGTATCTACGTACACTCCAAGTTGTTGTTGCAAGGTCTCGTAGTTTGGCTGCTGTTCAAGTTCTATTTGACAATTACGAATCCAAGTGTTCCTAGCTTCTGTAATCTCTGCTGCAGTTAAAACAATGTTTCCTGAAAATTGATAATCACTGTGTTCTGCCTTCAGGATCTGAACAAGTCTGAACACTAAAGCTGTAACTCTGAGCAATTTTGCAAGACTATTAAACCGGGTAATGTCAATACTCTTAGTGTTCTTGACAGACGTGGTTTCTTTAAGAAGGTTGGTAGCTGTAGTGGTCGATGTTGCCTTAACTCGTAGTTCTTTAAGGCATTCTTCTGACTGATCTTCGGTTTCCTCTATCTTCTCTGACATTGGGTAACTCTGTGGAAACTGCTTTAGTCTCGGTATCGTTATAGGTGTCAAAGGTGTTACTCTGCCCTTCGAAGCCACAAGACTTGCCACGTAGCCATCCTCGATTTCTACACACAGATAAACGACCGCGCAGTAAGCTCCCTTTGACGCGTCGCCAAATCCATGAAGAGTGACTGATTCTATTCTCTTAGTCGCAGTTGGAAAGTAATAACGTTGAATTACAATTTGGTCAACTTTCTCTGCATCATCGAGCCATATCCGAAAAGTTTTGGCACTTGATTGGGAAATAATACTGTCCCAGTCATATTTCTTGGCACATAAATCTTGCAGCAGCATACGAAGCTGCACTGTCGCTGGCGAGATCAAGCCCAAAGGATCAAACAATTTGGCGGCAACCTTCAAGACGGGTTCAAGACTTTTTCCAAGGTTAGAGATCTTGTTCAGTTTCAAAATAAATGTATCGTTTTTAAGGTTCCAGTTAAGTCCCAAAACCTTATGCTCCGTAGTAGGGTCAATTTCGTCCAGACCACCAACCGTGATTTTGGCATAAGATTCGTTGTCCTTTGTGGCGATATCAGCTCTATTATACTCCTTCTCTTTGTTCTCTCTCTTGGGTAATCTTGTCGATGACTGCCTTGTTGTTCGATGCCCATTTTCGCAACTTGAAACCCCCTGAAGCAAAACACTCGTTAGTTTCACGATACAGTTCATACGCTCGACCTTCATCTTCTTCGCCTGATGTTCAGTCGTCCAGGTACAAAGCATCTAAGAGGGCCTTTGCCAAAGCTAGATCTTTACGGTAATATTCCAAAACGTGATGTAGCGTAGCATTTAATAGGAAAGGGGAGCAGTTCATTCCAAAAATAACTCTCGCAAATCGATAAACTTCGACAATTGGGTCTTCGCTGTTGATGTCGTCCAGCCACAGGAATCGCATCAAATCTCTTTGTTTCTCGTCAATTAATAGCTATGTTCAAAAAAGCCTTTTCGATGTCGGCAACTAGTCCTACTTTGTTTCGTCTGAAGCGTAGTAGTATGTCAAATATTCCTGGTGTTAATGACGGGCCAGTATAAATGCAATCGTTCAAAGAAGGATAACTCTTGCTGACTTTCGCACTGGCATCCAATACAACTCTTGTCTTTGTGGTTAATGCATCTTTTCTGATGACCGCTTGATGCGGTAAATAATGTGTCTGTCCGACTTGATGCTCTTGCGATTCTTGAACTCTTTCAACTATTCCCTGGTGAAGCTGTTCTTCGATAATTCCGTTGTACTCTTGAAGGATTGGTTGGTCTTTACGCAGACGTTTAACTAAAGTATTCAATCACGCTAAGCTCAGGTCATAGTTGTCTGGTAAAAGTTCGTGTTGTTCCTTTAATGGTAAACTAACAGAATATCTTCCATCTTTAAAGGTGACGTTCTTCAAAAACGATTCGTGGACTGCTTCTTTATCTCGTATACCAATGGATTCGATATCCCATAACTGGAAGTAATTCTTCAGCTGCGGGTTTCTCTTGGTAATTTTCGGCAATCTTTAGCACGTGTGCTGAAACAAAATTTACGTTAGACAGTTTTTGTTTCTTCGTAGTTGAAATTGGACCCGATAGTACCCATCCAAGACTTGTTTTGCTCGCCACTGGACCAATCTGTTGCTCTCCTCTCGCAATTTCTCCCGTGAAAAAGGACCACATATAATCCGCTCCGATCAGCAACTGAATTTCCATCTCTTCGTTACCATGGTTACTATCAGCTAAGTCGATTTTCGTCAGATGAGCATAACAACGTTTCGCTCGGTCGATTTCTTGATTAGAAATTGGCGCACAAATATCAGGCACAACATAGGCTTCCATTCTGGTCGAGAAATGTCCTCCAATATCTCCGACTGTAAATTGAACTTTGTCACAGGTTTCCTTGCGGTTGATCTCATCATTTCCGAACGTTTTTATGACCAAAGACTCCTTGGCTATTGTTGGTAATTTCAGTTGATCTCGCACACTTCTTTTAATAAAACTCTTCTGACTTCCCGAGTCAAATATAACTCTAACACGAACCCCCGAATTTGGCTCTCTTAATCCAACGAAAGCTTGTGTGGTTTGAAGTAGAATGGAGTTCTTTGAGCTAACGTAAAGTGTGCTGGACTGGTTGGACTTTTCTTCTGGCGATTTTCCAAGGTTGTCTCGTTTTTGTTGTTGTTCGCTCTCGCATAAACTAACGTGATGTTTTTTTAGCACTTTTGACAAGTTGTTTTCGTTTGACAATCTCGGGCGATGTGGTTTCGTTTAAGGCATCTAAAACACCGTCCTTGTTTCATTACGCTTCGCTTCTACGTTTGTGACAACTTTGCATTCCACTGTTGGGTGTGGCTGTTTACAATATAGGTACAGTGAATTCGCGCCGCTTTTTCTTCTGCCAACAACGCTGCTAATGTCGAAGGATCTTTGCGCTGATATTTTCTCTCGCGGTTTTCTGAAGGTGTCTCGATTGCTTTAATTCCCTCACATCGTTCTCGGTTCTTAATTTCTTCTTGTAGAAGGCGAAGTAACTCATCAAGTTTCCAATCTTTGTCTTCTTTAATCTGTCGCCATAGCAATATTCGAATTCCTCTGGAATTTTGGTCATCAATATAGGCACCAAAAGACTACCGTATGATTCAGTGGGAACTTCTAGAGCTTGTAGACCTCTTACATGTGTCTCAACTTTGTCGTACATTTGTCGTAGTTTTTTTACGTCATTCGAAACGTTCAATGATGTTATTTTCAACAAACTGTCCATATGACCGCTAATTATTACTTGTTATTTCCAAAGCGCTCTTCTAATAATTTCACTGCTGTATCGTAGTTTTCTGCCGAAAGTTGTAGACCTGCGATTGTCAACGCTGCTGGACCTTTCAAAAGACTCTTGAGATAATTAATTGGTTCTCCGTAAAAGGTATTTAATACAAGTTTCGGTAGTTTTGCGTGTTTATCTTCGATCCATTGCTTTGCGATAAACTCTCTGCTTCTCCGATTAAATTGTCTCCTTTGTTTTCTAGTTGTTGGTGTAATTTGCTGTTCGACAAAACGCGGTCGATCTCTACAATAGCTCCATAAATATTCTCGGTAAACTCTCCAGACTCTTCTATTTCGCTTGTAATTTCGCTGTCTTCAATGACTTCAAGTATTTCTTCGTCTAAAGTTTTCAGTTTCTTTAATCTCTCTTCTGAGGAAATCTTGAGTTGTCTCAATCTGCTTTCATTCGACGAGTCATAATTCTGTATTACGCTTTTCACATTTCCCAATATTTTCGAAGCGTAAGCTCGGTGTCCTTGGCGTATTTTCTTCTTTTTCGCAACGGTAGACATCTCTCAATCGTTTAATTCGGCTCTCGAAGGACCATGTATTATATTTTTGACTAATCTTCTCTGTTAAATATCAATTTTATTATATTTTACGCTATTTTTTACACCAAATTCCCCATATTCTCGTCGCTCTCGTTTTTATAATGTCAATCACGCTATAATTGCCTCTGGCGTCATTACTATAAATGATCATAAATATCAATGTCAAATAGTCAATTTCCAGTTATATTAAAGTTTATAGTTTATCTACAAGTATTTTATTATATATCAATAGTCAAAGAAACAACAAATTAAAGAATAAATGAAAGTAAATACATGAAATTTTTTGTCAAAACGTTAAATTAACCAAAGGTCGCATCTTCACGTGATGGCGTACGTGATTTTTTTGGTTATTCCGCCGGTCGATAACGTATTAGAGAGGTTAAGATAACCCGGTTTCGGTGTACGGGTACGAGTAGTGTCATCTTGTTTTACTGATGTCTGTAATTCGATCATACTTTGTCTGTTTTCTTGCAATTGACAATCAGGCCTTAAAATATATTTTACAGGGCCGTCTGACAAAATGTCCGATGACTTTGAGAATGGGTCGGACATATGTCCGATGACCTTCAGTTCAGTTTGGGTCGGAAATAAGTCTGAATGACGCAAATTAATATCAGCATAATGTATTCATTCTGAACTAAATGTTGTGAAGATATTAAATAATTTGTGTCATTCATACTTATTTCCAGGCCAAAATTAACTTGCTTGCCAATGATAGCAGTACGACTTCGATAACTTAAGCCCGTTTTCCACCTCACCATTTCACTCGCCGCCCCGCAACATTTCCGGTTCATTTTTATTCAAACTCTGGTTCTGGACTAGGGTACATTTTGATAATACGTGCGTGGAGAAAGCGTCAGACAAAGCTACAGTTCGGTCGGACACCAATACACTCGGGTCAGACAAACAATAAACCTCAGTTTCACTTAGGTCGGACAGAATGTCCGGTAGTTTCCTCTGTACGTCGGACAATTTGATGAATGGGTCGGACAACGTCCGTGACCGACCGATATTTTAAGGCCTGATAGACAATGATATAATGCGAAAAATGTGCACCTTAATTACGAGTAAAGGTACAGACATCGACGAAAATATTGCTAACCAAAGTCATGCTACTCGTACCCGTACACCGAAACCGGGGTATGTTAACCTCTCTAATATCTCCATCTCGCGCTGTTGCGAGGGAGACAGCCTAATTTCGTCACTCTCGCGTGATATGCTCTCGACCAATAAAACACTAGAAAAAGGGGACTTTAACTATTGGTATATAATAATCACCGAGTCTGAGGTGAATAATTGTTTTAGTATTTTTACACATTTTATCAATTCTCTTGTTTTTTGGGACTGAATTTATTTCAATTTCGCTTATTTCTTTATCAGTAACTTCCACAAAACAGCTAGCCGCCATTTTGCAAATTTCGGTTTTGTTATATTCACCTGTAGGTGAATATAACAGCTTAATACTGTACGTCAAATTTGACCAATCAACTTGTAGGATTTGTTATATTCACTTGTGCAAAAATACTAAAATTACATATTACATATATAGGTAAAACATACTTTGTACCTAAGAACGGCCCCATAAGCTTTAGCTTTAATCTTAACCATACTGAAATAAATTTATTGTAATGTATTGTGTATATATAATAAAGCAAGCAGCGAAAAAATGGGGTTGGTTGCTTTCAAACATTAGAAATGTAAGCCAAATAGTACACCTAGACAATAATAGTGGCTTCGGGACTGCTCATTATTTGTTATACAGAGGGGGCTTGGGGAAAAACTGGGGGGGGGTGCTTTTAAAAAAATGTGGAAGGGGGGACTTAAAAATAGCAAACAGAAAAGGGGGGGGGGGGTTGTGAAAATAGGTTTAGGCTAGCAGTAATTTATATTATATAATAACTACAGTGAAACAAGCAATTTGATTGGTCAATAGCCGTGCAGGATCAGGCTATCCTTGCATGAGGAATTAAAATGCCTTCGCGGGATTTTCGCGGGATTCTCAAATTGTCATTGTTTCACTGTAGTTATTTTATAAAACAATTACCAAATGGTTTTCCAAGCAGGATAGCGTGATCCATGCACGCACTTGAGATGTTGCTCGACGTTCGGAAAGCGTAAATTAAAATACAGTGACTCGCCTGCAGCTCGAGTATTTGTACGCTTTCCGAAAGTCTTGCGACATCCCTCGTGCATGGATCACATAATCCTGCATGGAAAACCATTCGGTATTCCTTTAGTAATGCAGATCACTTTTGACAGAAAAAAATGATAGTACATCAACGTGAAAATCTTAGCAAATTAAAGTAGCTTTTAATATAGTATTTTGCACACAGTACATTGTCCTCAAATGTCCTGAAATGAACTGTCTTCTGATAAATCATTTTCTGATGAGCAGGATGAAATATCTAATTATTAACGTGTCATTATTATCTGAGCCACTTTCTTCTTGTACACCCATTTCGGATTCAAGTGCTCAGTGATTTAATAGAAGTTTACCTTAAGATCAGGCAGAACTGCCAAAACATTGCATAAACTTTTGCCATATCTTTATAAATTAAAATTTGTTTCTTGTTCTGAAAAGACTACCATGTATAAAAACATCTAATGGTGCATTATTATTAGGTGTGATATCCGCCAAAATTCATATATTGAATTATGCCATTGGAAATTGCATTTTTGAAGTTCAGTTATGCTATTGTGATATTCAATATTATGATATTCGAATTTCATTCCGCGTGAAACAGTCATTATTGAATTTTCATTCGACGTGAAACAGTCAATGAAATAGTCATTTGGCATGGCACTCAGAAACCAGAATTCGACTTCCGGTTTGGCATGGCACTCAGAAACCAAGATTGATCAGAGAATATTGTGGATCATCAAATGATGTTTCTTCAACACAAGTTGCGAGTCCAAATGTAATTTCTCAAAGCGAATCGCATGCTCGTTCGAATGTAGATATTCAAAACGTACCAACTACATCATCTGGAGTCACTGCCGTCAATTCAACAATCTGCAAATCAGCGTACCTCGCTACAGTATTAAAAATCCAATCGAGGCGGTACTGCACACTATCAACTACATTTTGGTCAACATTCTCTGATCGTAGTTGCCTCAAAATTGACTCCAATGTATTTGTTAGCTCAATTCTAGTTTGCCTACTTGTTTCCAATACGTCTACAGCAATTATATTTCTGTGTTGTTGACCGAAATTGCCTTTGCCCATGTTGGAATTACAATTTCCCGTGTGATTTTTCCGCTAAACCGGAAGACGAATTTTGGTTTCAGAGTGCCATGCCGAATGACCATTTCAATTAATGACCGTTTCACGCCGAATGAAAATTCAATCAGGGTCCGAATTATCGCTACAAAACAGCATCGCATTTTTTTTTGAAAAATTTCACGTTAAAATACACATTTTAGGATCCCCTCCCCAATTTTTTTGAGCATCACAAAAAGCCGAAAAGGAATGCGGCACATGCAATGATTTTGCTAAGGTAAGGCATTTCGAACATGATTGCAATCATTTCACACTGCATAAAGCATTACATTCTGCTAAAAATCAAACGCTTCCGTAGTAAAATTGAAAATTCTAAAAATATGCATGCTCTCGCATTTGTATAAACATTTAGACAACCTGTGACAAGCAGGCCTTAAAATATCGGTCGGTCACGGACATTGTCCGACCCATTCGTGAAATTGTCCGACGTAGAAAGGAAACCACCGGACATTCTGTCCGACCTAAGTGAAACTGAGGTTTATTGTTTGTCCGAACCGAGTGTATTGGTGTCCGACCGAACTGTAGCTTTGTCCGACGTAAATCAAAATGTTAAATGGAAAATCAGAATACTATTGTATAAAAGGTCAAACTGGAAATGTTGTTTTAATGTAGTCGAGCGCGGGGCGGCGAGCGAAATGGTGAAGTGGAAAACGGGCTTAAGTTGTCGAAGTCTTTTTGATACTGCTGTTCTGGAAAGCAAGTTAATTTTGGCTTGGAAATAAGTATGAAAGAAACAAATTATCTTTACAACATTTACCGTTTATTCATTTGTGTCATTCAGACTTATTTCCGAGTCAAAAATGAACTGAAGGTCATCGGACATATGTCCGGCCCAAACTCAACGTCACCGGACATTTTGTCAGACGGCCCTGGAAAAGATATTTTAAGGCCTGGACAAGTAATTATCGAAGCAATGTTACCATGTGCTCAATGTCAAAACGTTACGTTTTCGTTGTTTTTCCCCTAAATAAAGGCTGCTATTTTTCGCACGTATACGTACAGAAAAGTTTAAATCTTTGTAAATTTTATTGAAGTTCTACCTACCTCAACAACCGAGCCTTTAAATAGATCACGAAACTAAATGCAGGCCTCTTATTCATTTAATTATTTTATAAGAAACTTTTAAATAGTTCAAACTTTTCCGTGCATGTACGCACGCACGCATATGAAAAACGCTTAACTGGAAAGCAGCCTTAACAACACAACATTTCACTAATGAATAAACATTGCTAAAGTCAAGGAATTGCTGTATTTATACAGTATAGACCTTAGGGATACTTCCATAGACGGATTTTCTGGGGGTGCAGGGGGGTGCTACCCCCCAATATTAGCTATAACCCCCAAACAAAATGTCCACCCCTCCAAAAAAAATTTCCAACCCCCCCCCCCAATATTTGGCATAATAAATAAATAATTAAGTAGTCTACTCCAACGTGCAGAGTGTTGATGATACAAAATAAACGTAGGAGTACACTCGAACAGAAAAAGACAGTGCAACACTCTGAACTAATCACTCCTAGCTTGCATTCACTGGTTTATTGGAGCAATCGTAAAGTTTTGAAACTCTATTATCTTCCCTGAATAGAGTTTGCAGTGCCTTGTCATGTGAATAGCTTGCACGCAAGGAACGTTTGGAATTTTTACGAACACTATTTTTAGTTTTTAATTCTTTTAGGAAATAGACTTGCCTAGATTTAATCTTTACACCCCAAATATTATTTACATCGGAGTTGCATCATAAATTGGTACTCAGATTCAAACAACGTGCAGTGTGTTGATGATACAAACTCTACTTTAACTCTCTCAAGTCTCAACAGACAATCGGACATGCCGAATCCATTGATGTGACAAATTGACAACTTCAAAAAACTTTTTTTCGAAGCTAGAAATCATGATTTTTTCCAAAATGTTTCCTGGAATATTTTGTTTTCTGCTCTCTAGACTCCCCCTCGTAGCTCTAGTGCTCCACCCCTAGAATATAGACCTTACTGGGGTTTGGTGACACTTTGTGTTGCTTCAGTCACCTGCTCACGGCTCACCCCCCTAAAATTTCTGGCACCACCCCAGTAATAAATATGAAAATCCGTCTATGGATACTTCACAATTGGGCATGTGTCTCCGCGATTATGCAGGTCTATTATCCTAATTGTTTATACATGTACAGGTATACATCGTTTAAAATTCCACGATTTCTATCTTCTTTGAAACACTAAGATGTACGTTATATAATTTTAAATTAATAACAGTGAAGCAAATGGCTAAACAAGCAATGAATTGTCGTTCTCACCGTTGATAGCTGTGATGTCAACACTAGCACAGAACTCAAAAGTGAGATGCTCCACACAAATGAAATGAAATAGAAGAAAGTGAAGATTCCGGTGAAATGGAAGAAAGCTGGATATCAAGCATTAAAACTAAAGAAGCTTCGCAACTTTTAGAAATTTTACGCAATAACCAAAATCGCTTCGCATTTTGTGCAATTTGCGAAGCGTTAATTCGTACCCTGATTCAATAATGACTATTTCACACCGAATGAAATTCGAATATCATAATATTGAATATCATAATAGCATAACTGAAGTTCATAAATGCAATTTCCAATGGCATAATTCAATATATGAATTTTGGCAGAATTATCACATCTCATACATTATTCTTTGGCCCACGATTTGTGTGTTTTGTAATAAAATAGAAAGTTAGAGGGGGGACTTCAGGATATATTTTGCGGTGAAAACAATGCTAAATTTGAAAAAAATTCTCACATCTAGCACATGACAAGACAGATTTGACAGGCAGGTTGTACATTCAACAATAGCCTGCCCTGGACCACACAAAGTGCAAGAAAATTTGCAGTAGTTTCTAAAGGGCATGCTCTTCAATTGGGACACTTTAACACCCGCAACAATTTTCACAGTGAAATATTATGAAGAAATGAAGTATTTGTGTTGACATATAAAATGACATTATATTCATAGAATAATTTTGCCTAGCTTTTGCAAAATAGCAGTTCTCTGAGAAACCAATTGTTATTGTTATTGTATTTTAATTTCACATCCCTTAAAAGGCTTTTCAGCAAAATTTTACATAATTGATCTAAATTTTTTATACACTGTAATAATAGAGACACACATAACAACACACAGTCACACAACACACACACACACACACTTGGTAGTACTACACAAATATATATGCTATTTACATCAAAATGTCTTAAGATTGGTCCTAAATTTAAATGTTTCTACAAGTCTCTGTTTTAAAATATGTTTAAAGTCTTTCGTTGTTCAGATCTCTAACCCAGAACCTAATTTTCCATGAGTGACTGAGTGAAATGGCTCTGGCCTCTGAGGACAAGAATGGTCGTAGCCTGGGTATGAAACGACCATCATGTCTGAGTATGTAGGACAAAAATATATATACATTTTGAAAATATGCAAAGAAATAAGCAGCCGTTAGGTGGCTGATAGGCGGAAGCAAACGTCCAGCACTGGCACTGCAGACTGTATGTGATAACCATAGAAATAATCTAATTCTTATGGTGACAACAAACAAGACTTCAAATAATCAAATTTAAGAAATTTTCATATTATTTATATTAATGAACAATTTCTTCACTTACAAACAAATTATTTATAAAATGAACACATAAATCATACTAACCATAATCTCCAAGTTAGAGTTGTAAAGTCTGGTATAATTTCAAGCTTTTTTCTTTTTGGGCCACTGGTATTTTCCAGACTAGAAGATGCACTTGCACACCTTTTTTCCGCCATTTTGTTTGAAAATTTCAATACGATAAAAATTGCGCATGCTCATAAATCATAACCAAAGCTGTTACAAAAAATACCAAACCAGCCAAAATTTGATAATCTATGGCGAAATGTCACCATGGCAACCATATGGAACTCCAAATTAACTCCCGCGAGTTTACAAAAAAATGGACAAAAAGGAGAGCGATTCTTTTGTATTTGGTAATTTATTACGGCGAAATTTGGAAAGCTACAAAGTCAATAACCCAGGATTTTCAACCTTGGCACAAAAAGGAGACGATGAGGTTTGTTGCGAGTATACAGTATTTGAGACTAAAAGCAAATGATCAATTTATTGAAATCAATGAAGATAAAAAAGGTCAAGGCCTCCCCTCTTTTTTATTTATTTATTAAATTACAAGGGCTAGAGGTCCACTACTGAAACCATATAAAGGCTTTTGTTTTAAGACCCCTAGCTAGTTTAGAAATTTTAATTTACAATATAAATGATATTTACAGTCTGATTATCGGAAGTAAAATTAATTTATAATTAAAAAGAAGATAAGAAAAGAAGATATATACAATGACAGAAGATTTTTCTTGAGAGAACAGACAACAGATATGTCTTTATATGCAAATACGGCCTAGTACCCTATGTTTCCAAATGCAACTGCAAGAAAGAATTTTTGAGGAAGAATCATAAGGGAAGAATGTGTAAATTAAGGCCCCTTTCCAAATTTTTATAGCCAGCCAACATAGTATTTACTATTGATCAAGTGCCAGAGGGCTATTAGGGTACTAGCTCACTGTTTACATGAGATTGACGCTCAGATTTCAGAATTATTTGTTTATTGTATTATACATGAAAGGGGTTGAATAGGGGTATACAAATCCGCCGATTTGAAGCAAAATCTGTGATCCGAGCCAAAATATTAGATAAATCCGCAATCTGCTGCATTAATAAGATCCGAAATCTGTAAAACATTCGCCAGATCCGAAATCCGGACAATTTTTTCTGTGAAATCCGACGATCCGAAAACCTATTCACCCCCCCCCCCCCAATGAAAATACTAATGCACCTATCAATGTTAAGCCCCAGACGGGGGGTTGGGCATAGGGGGCATTTGATTTTTTGAGCAAATTTTCAATCAAATGCCCCACCGTCGGGCAATAAATATTGGTCAAATACCCCACCATTTTGCAATAAATTGCAATAAATACTTAAAAGTCATTCGGTTCAAATTGCCCCAACTTCCGGTAGTTAATTAGATATGAAGAAAGTGTTTCTTTATCTCTTGTTTGAAGACAAAATGTGATTTTGTTTGCTTGAAGTCTTTCGCAAGACCGTTCCAAAATTCGATTCCTATTGTTTGCTAGGGAATGTTTTGTGTAATTTGTTCTTTTGTAAGACTTAGTAGTGATCGAGTTATAAAAAAGGACATGGGCTGAGTTTGTGAGTCATAAATATGAACACATTTTCCAAGTTTTGTAGCTTTATAACCAAAAGAGATTGACAAAGCATGCCAAGGAAATGTCATGTATAACATTATATTTTAGATGAGCCAGGGTTATATGGAACAATTACGAGGGCCCCGCCATGGTGTTCAAAAGCGTACGAGATTTCGAAATCAGGAGATTTCTAACCTGATTTTTTGATTTCTAACCTCATGATTTCTGTTGATTTATAGGATATCAGGTTAGAAACCAAGAAATCGCATTGAATTCTAACCTGATTTCTGTTGGTGACTGCTAGGGATGTGCCGGATCCGGATACCGGTATCCGATATCCGGTAAAATTTAGACATCCGGCACTATCCGGTATCCGGTATAAATTTGCCAGATATTTACCGGATAGTACTGTAAGATATTTTGTTACAACCATGAAACGGAAAAGTTTACTTGTCATTTAAAAATTGTGAAACACAAACAATTACTGAGCGTGCACTGCATTACGACGAAATTACGACATTATTAATGAGTGAGTGAGTGAGTGATATTTTTGTCGTGATGGTGATGTGAACTGCTCGTTCGCCAACAGCAGTGAATTTTATATCCGGCACATCCCTAGTGACTGCTGTCATGTAGACTGTGGGCTCAATAATAATGAAGTTTTGAAGTGATTTGAGTGATTTCTGATTTCAAAATTCATTGATTTCTCTCGTGATTTCAGTTTCATTTCTGTTGATTTTATTTCTGAGTCGAGTGTGCAAGATTTGATAGATTTCAGCCGTAGTGGTCCCCTCCGGATTTAGATAAAATTTATTGGTCTTTTTTAACTATTTGCATGCATTTAATGGTTAACAGCAAATAATTTCAGATGCAATGAAAACAAAAATGAAACAGGACAACAGGTTACAAAATTGCATACCAAATTAGGAACAAACAATTTTAAAACACTGACATCATTGTTCTTCAATCTGATTGGATAAAATATCACAAACGAATAAAGCCTGTCAATCAAGTTTCCCAACCAACTAAATCTGCCACAAACAAGAAAGCTTCTTTAATTTATATGAAATATGCCGATTAAAAGTTACAAACTTAAGGTGAATTAAGCCCCGTTTACACTACGCTCAATTTTTGGTACGGCACGGATAAAATTGGTACCCGAACCACTTTTTTGGTTCTTGGACTACATATTTAGGTAGTCCAAGAACCAAAAAGTGGTACGGTACCAAAAATTGAGCGTAGTGTAAACGGGGCTTAGCTAAATAGGAAGTCCAAGAACCAAAAAAGTGGTACGGGTACCAATTTTATCCGTGCCGTACCAAAAATTGAGCGTAGTGTAAACGGGGCTTTAGTATAGGTAATGGCATGGGGCTGAGTAAAATTAAGGTTTAATTTAATTTCACGTGTTTTTCAAAGTTTTGCGACTTTGAAACTTTGAAAACACAAACTGTGCGATTACTTGTTAATCACAGAGGGCAAAATTTATTCGTAAGTTAATTATACTCATATGTCTCCATGTCGATCTTCGCCGATGTTCCTTAATTAATGCTGCCCATTTCGTAATGCTTGCCCAGTTTTCACTAGAAGTTTTCAATTTTTCAATAACATTATTATCCGCGACGACGCGCGAGAAGCCATTGTTTTTATTGCTATTTAAAGTGCACCTAACCTCAAATCTTCTAACATCTCATTCCTAAGAACCTTTGAAATGATATTGTAAGTTATTTTGAAGATTTTCGTTTGCTCACTTTGTCTCTGAGTTATTTCAGTTTCATTGAGATGCAAATGTCACATTACGTCACATATGAATAATGATTGATCATTGTTAGGTACAGTTAAATATCATGAAATAAAAAGGCTAAATGGTGTTTTACATAGGTATGTAATCCTCCCACAACTCCAAACTTCATTTTAATGAATTAAACTCGACAGTGCATGTCTTGAATATGATATACACAGGGGTTTCAGAATGATTTGAAGTATAGGCGGCTGTACCAAAAAAGTAGCCGGTTGTGACTGATAGTTAAAAAAGCGCGCGGCGAGGGGGGCGTGCCCTCGCATGGAAATTTAAAAAAAATTCGCCGCAAATGGACCAATCCCCAATTAACCAAAATTTTGATCTCAACAAGTCTAGACAAAATTCCATCATAGCATGAAAGAGCATCACAAAATTAGTAATATTCCAAATTTCATTGCGAAATGTTGTAAAATGCGGATAATATAGCCTTGGGAAGTTTGTAACTTTCAGTCATTTTGTATTACGCACAGAAGTGGTAACCATTTCCCGTTTGTAATACAAAATGACTGAAAATTAAAAACTTCCCAAGGCTATATTATCCGCTACAGCATTTTGTAACGAAACTTTGGAATATTAGTAATTTTGTGGTGCTCTTTCAAGCTGTGATGAAATGTTTGTCTAGACTTGTTGAGTTCAAAATTTTGGTTAATTGGGGATTGGTCCATTAAAGGCCCGTTTACACGGGCGATTTTTGCTGCGATTTTAGGGCGATTTTCTTCTGATGGATGTGAAGGAGTGGATGAGTTATAAATGTTCCAGGTTATGAAATTTCATAACAACGTCGTTAAGTAATCTACTCCTTCACATCCTCCAAAAGGAGAAAATCGCAACTAAAATCGCAGCAACAATCGCCTGTGTAAACGGGCCCCAAAGTACAACTGTTGATATGTTAGATTTAGATGTCATTTGCATTTGTACTTGTAAGTGACAATGTACTCTAATGTGCTAGGCCTACTAGTAGTTTAATTTTTACAGCTGCATGAACAGAATGACAATCATGTACACTATTAGTATTAATTTATGAGTCCGAAATCATTAATCAAATGATGTTATACTTGTGTACGTAATGAACTTTACTTCATCACTTTATCATAATTAGTTCACTGTCAAAGAATTAGTCACTTGAAAAACATTTGCAAGTAGCTCTGAATCTGACTCGTTCTCTGGCTCACTGTCAAATTCGGATTCCCCAATGCTAGTTCGGATTCCCCAGGAAGATTCAGAGCCGCTGACCATTTGCTGCGAAATTTAAGATGGCGATGAGAAAACAAAGAATGTTTATCTTATCGCTTTTTCGACAGCAACTTAAGAAAGCAAGCTATGTTTGGTACTATGTATTATTGATCTTATTGATCTTCCAAAATACAGTAAGTGATGTTTTGCTTGAATTCCAATTGGAACATAACAAACATCGTGTTGGTTCGCTTGTACCTTTGTATATAAAATTTTTCCTGTGACCAGACGAAAAGTAGCCGGCGGTAAAAGTTCAAGTAGCCGGCGGAACTCCGGCAGCCGCCGGCTTATTCTGAAACCCCTGATTATACATTTTCAAGTTTTTACTTTAAATCATTATGCATTTGTGACGTAAATTCCGGATATTTGCATAGCAAACAAACTGAAACATATCTCTGCAGAAACAAAGTGAGCAAACAAAAATCTTCAAAATCAGTTGTAATTATATGATCATTTCAGAAGTTTTTAAGAATGAGATGATAAAAATGATTGAGGTTCCTAGGTGCACTTTAAAACAAGAAACGTCCCGCTCCTGCGTCTCAGCCAATCAGGCGCAAGTAATTTTGCTCTGAATTAAGAAGAATTTATGCCCTCATCATTAGCCAATCATATTTGAGCAATTTTGCCCTCTATATGATTAAGTGAAGAAATACTATGACCTATATGGGGCTGGTTGTTCAACGGCGGTTAGTGGGAATTGGGAAGTAAACTCCTATCGACCCAACCGAGATTTCTAAAGATTGAAACATTTCCACATTTGATTTTTCTGTGTTGGTGTAATGTACTCAGGTGAATATGATGCTTGTGATGTTGTTACTCTGAGTGTATATCCACACCAGGCAAGCTTGAAAAATATGCCTGACCACGGTGGGAATCGAACCTACGACCTCAGTTTGGAATACTAGCCCAATGCTAGCTGTCAACTGAGCTACGTGGTCAGATCGGTTCGAGTATGTGATATTTCGGAACAGAAACTAGTTCCTTCGATATCAATGTAATCTAATCCAAAGGTCGTAGGTTCGATTCCCACCGTGGTCAGGCATATTTTTCAAGCTTGCCCGGTGTGGATATACACTCAGAGTAACATCACAAGCATCATTTCCACATTTATAGGCAAGCTGATTGAACCTCCACTCATTGAGTGTGAGTGTGAGTGAGCTTTTAGAATACGGGCGTTAGGCCTGTTTCAAACGTCGCGCTTCTCATGTGCCGAACGCATTAGAAACAATAGATAACGAGGCATTTCAGCTGATTATCTATTGTTTTTAATGCGTTCGGCAGATGAGAAGCTCGACGTTTGAAACAGGCCTAAATTGAAATTACTGTTTTAAACTAGAACTATAAACTGAAACTAAATTAAAATTCTTGTTCCAAACTAGTACTAAACTAAAACTGAATTGCAAACTGGACTACATTTCAAGTCTTGAAATGGAATAAATGACTACTGAAAGTGAATTTATTAATTTTGATCCAGTCCTGTGACGTGATCAGTATACTTCACCAGGTATAGTATCCAGTATATCATGTGAGGAAAATAATTAAATAAAGCATTATGGTTGGCTAATTTACTCATGCATTATTAATGAGTCAGTTGAGATACAAGAGTAAAATATAAATGTTTAATAATTGAAATTTAGCTGGTGGAAAAATTTCTCTCAGAGAATGTTCACATAACTGGATCAGCATCTGAACAAAAGCAAAGTCAGTTATATATTGGTTAGTATAATAGAAATTTGATTGCATGCTTGGTCGTAAAATTCCCATATGGTCGTAATGGTCGTAAAACTAGAGTCACGATCTTTCTCAACGGCCAGTTTATAATAGTTGATACCTGTAAACCACATATAAATCGTAAGTATTCTCTAGTTCTTCAAAATGTTTAGGACGAACTTTCCCTAAGCCTCATGTTAGTAAAATACTTTGTGTTCAATGTATAGACCACAGTATAAAGACTTTTTTAAATGTGTTTATTATAGGGGTGCACCGGATTTCAAATCCGGCCGGAATTCCGGCCGGATTTAACAAATTTTCCGGCATCCGGCCGGATTTGGAGAGAATCCGGCCGGATTTAAATTTCTGTTTTCACCTTAAAAAAGTCACCAAGAATGGGATAAACCATCAATTTGGCAGCATTAAAGTTTAAAAAACACTTATATTATTATAAAATATTAAGTTATTAGTTATTAACAAAAAGATATTTAAAAAAGGTTTAAACACAATCAAAAATCTAAACTGACACTAACTAAAAATAGTAAAAAAACATAAACCGCTATTTTTAATACTGATTTATCCACAATTGTCCCCATTACCGGTTTATCTCAAATCCGGCCGGAATTCCGGCCCGAATTTTTGTCCAAATCCGGTAAATCCGGTTCCGGCCGGATTTGAAAATTCCAAATCCGGTGCACCCCTAGTTTATTACATTAACAAATGAACGACGTTTCGGAGATTTACTCCATCTTACAATAAATTGTAATCTTAACTACCTGAAGATGGAGCAAATCTCTGAAACGTCGTTTGTTAATGTAATAAACACATTTAAAAAAAAGTCTTACTGTGGTCTAAACATTGAACACAAAATATTCTCTAGTTATAATCACTCCGCGTATTTTCAGTTCTACTGTAATGTTGTACATTTGAGCAGATACGAAACTGATGTTGTATTTCGGTTGATGCAAAATATCGTGACTCAATATTTACGACCGTTACGACCATATGGAAACCAGGCTTTAGAATTGAAGCGAGTGAGAATCGCATGAGTAAAGTCTGTAGAGAGTAGATATAAGCAGCAACGAGAGCTTCCTGCAGAATCACAGACTCTAGCCTGAGTGCATAGACTCGATATACTCCTGTTCTTTATACATGGTGCATTGTAACTTCATGGTTCAATGTTTGTATTTACCGCGTGTTTGTATTGGCAAATACATCTAACAGGCACATTCAACAAACAAAACCTGGTTTCCATATGGTCGTAACGGTCGTAAAAATAGAGTCACGATCTTTCTCAATGGCCAGTTTATAATAGTTTATACCTGTAAACCACATATGAATCATATAAGCATTCACTATAGTTATAGTGAATTTTTTTTCATTTCGGCTGATGGGAAAGACCGTGACTCAATCTTTACGACCGTTGCTTTAGAACTGAAAATACGCGAAGTGATTACAATTAGAGAATACAGCACTTATGAGTTATGATTTATATGTGGTTTACATGCAGGTATAAACTATTATAAACTGGCTGTTGAGAAGATAGTGACTCTATTTTTTTGACCATTTGGAAACCATGCTTAACATTGTTATATAGCTAATAGTGCGCTTAAACTATTTGTGGTCATGTGGAAACAAGTGAAAGATTTTTTTTCGCTCCGACCAGCTATACGCACATAAATGCTCAAAGTGCATGGAGTCAAAAGTTTAGAAAGAACGTAATACGGAGCGGATATAAAATGTTTAATGTCCAAGGCGATGATAGTTGACAAGTGAGAGTTTTGCAAGCATATCCAGCGTGCATGGCCTCTCTCCTCCGTCGAGTTAACCATATAGCCTATCGAAGGGAAGATGGCTGTGAAACTCATTAGAATAACAATATAACTCATTAGTATAGGTTAGTACCATGGTTTCGAGTGCAATTTGGATATAACATGAACGAGTGAGTTTTTCAAAGACCTCAAAATAGCACGAGTCCAGAGGACGAGTGCTAAAATAGCACGAGTCCAGAGGACGAGTGCTATTTGAGGTCTTTCAAAACTCACGAGTGCATGAGAAACCAAGTTTCATGAGAAACCATGCTATTACTTATTAATAATTTACATAAAAATGTTTGAGACAATTGTAGTTTTAACTTACGTTTATGTATAGCGAACATTCCACTGGCAAAGTTTTCCTGGCTTTGTTATTTAACAATTATTCGCCGAAGGCGAGGTGATTATCGGTGAATAAAAACCGAGACGAAGTCGAGGTTTTTATTCACGATAATCACCGAGCCTGAGGTGAATAATTGTTTTAGTATAATTTCATAGGTGATTATTTACAAAAAAAATAAAAAAATAGACATTTCTTCGTCATTTAATTGACAAAACGGCTTCGGCCGCCATTTTGAAAATCGCTTAGGTGATTATCGCGTAAAAATCACCTCAACGGCAACCAATCAGCGTGGAGAATATTCAATAATCACCTATGTAATTATACTAAATCACATTATACAACGCTAACAGCTTGAAAACTCCACTCAACTATATGTAAGTTCTGTTTGCCTTGTTTAAGGCAAAGGCTTTTCCATTTAAAAAAAAAAAGATAAAAGCCATATTTTCCAACCGAAGTCAACTTTTACTTTATGTAGCGCGGCGCCGTGTTTGTTTTGTTTTGGAGCAATCTGTGAAATCTTTAAACTGCTTTAAACTGCTTGATTGATTCTATCATCACATTGTTTTTCCACAAATCAGATCAGTTTGTTACAGATTTTTGCACTGTGATTACAGAAAATTGCACTGTGATTACAGAAAATGACACTGCTCTTTGGGATTAACTGCACTGAAATCAACCAATCACAGTCGAGTAATATTTTTATATATATTATTATCTATGTTAGTCAGCGTTTATTCATAAATCTGGTCCTTCACCGTCACGTGTTTGTATTGTATTTTTTTCCGAATTTTCCCAACTAACCAATAGCAATGTTTTAGGAAAGCTACCTATCCATGACTGGAACAATAGGGAATTTGGAAATTGCTATAGGTGGGTTTGACAAAAATCACAATACACACGTGACGGTGAAGGACCAGAGTTATGAATAAACGTTGACTAACATAGATAATGAGTTATATTGTTATTCTAATTAGTTTCACAGACGTCTTCCCTTCGATAGGCTATGGTTAAACACGCAGGCAATACAACTAATTCAGAAAAGGTTGTCCTTTGCAAACCTTTAACTCTATAAACCTTAAACTTTAAGCGCGCACAGCTTAATGGGAGCACAAGTTTCAAGCTTAGTAGTTGAATATTGCAGCTACAGTATATTTGGGAATGAATTGTTCTTGTAAGGAGATATCATGTATGATTTCTAAAATGATTAAATGATGCTCCCATTATGCTTTGCACGCTTAGAGTTTAAGGTTTAGAGTACAACTTTTTTGAAGCTGTATGCTGTATACCGTAAAATGTAAGGCCTCCCATGCATGGTAGAGTAATTGGCCTTCCATGCACACGCAGCTTTCACCAATTACCCGAATACCACACTTTTCAAACCCTAACCGTTTAAGCCTGCATGTGAGTCGCATGAGCTTATATTGTTCAATTCATGTTTTATAGCTGCATTCTGGGGATTTTACGATGTTGTAAGGACGTTAGTGGACGGTGGAGCTGATGTAAACACACAAAACGCCGGGAGTCTGTGGACGCCTTTGCATGCAGCAACTTTCCAAGAACATGGCAAGGTATGTTTTAGTGAAATCATGAAATTTTGAATTTGCTCACGTCACCTTAGTTGAGCCGCTATATCTTCCACAGTAATATACTCTTAATAAAGGAATACCGAATGATTTTCCGTGCAGGATTGCGTGATCCATGCACGCGGGAAGTTGCGAGACTTTCGGAAAGCGTGAAAATACACGAGCCGTAGGCGAGTGTATTTTTATGCTTTCCGAAAGTCGAGCAACATCCCAATTGCATGGATCATGCTATCCTGCACGGGAAAGCCGTTTGGTAATTGTTTTATAAAATTACTACAGTGAAACGACGGTTAACTTTATTAGAATTACTGATGAAATGTGCAGTTCTCACGACAATCGTGAATTAACCAATCGGAGAATCGCTACTCCACGCTATTGAAAACAAGAACAAATGTGAACAGAATTTGATCGCAAATTCGCGAAAATATACAGCGAAAATACAGGGACTTTTTCGATAAAATATACGAAATTTGAAATGGAAAACCCGCTAAACAGAGAGCCAAAGTAGTTTTGATGATTCTTACGATTGGCCCATAAGGGTCACGCTTCTTTCTTTTATATTTTGCTTCTGTATTTATAAAAGCACAACGAAATTTATATTAACATAGCAAAGTCATTTAAAAACAGAATAATTTTCTTTTTTGCCGGTGAAGACTTTTGAATTTACCTGCAGCAAGTTAACTTTTTAGCTGCAGAAAGTTAACTTTTTAGCTGCGGCAAGTTAACTTTTTAGCTGCAGAAAGTTAACTTTTTAGCTGCAGCAAGTTAACTTTTTAGCTGCAGCAAGTTAACTTTTTAGCTGCAGAAAGTTAACTTTTTAGCTGCGGCAAGTTAACTTTTTAGCTGCGGCAAGTTAACTTTTTAGCTGCGGCAAGTTAACTTTTTAGCTGCGGCAAGTTAACTTTTTAGCTGCGGCAAGTTAACTTTTTAGCTGCGGCAAGTTAACTTTTTAGCTGCAGCAAGTTAACTTTTTAGCTGCAGCAAGTTAACTTTTTAGCTGCAGCAAGTTAACTTTTTAGCTGCAGAAAGTTAACTTTTTAGCTGCGGCAAGTTAACTTTTTAGCTGCAGAAAGTTAACTTTTTAGCTGCAGCAAGGTAACTTTTTAGCTGCAGAAAGTTAACTTTTTAGCTGCGGCAAGTTAACTTTTTAGCTGCAGCAAGTTAACTTTTTAGCTGCAGAAAGTTAACTTTTTAGCTGCAGCAAGTTAACTTTTTAGCTGCAGAAAGTTAACTTTTTAGCTGCGGCAAGTTAACTTTTTAGCTGCGGCAAGTTAACTTTTTAGCTGCAGAAAGTTAACTTTTTAGCTGCAGAAAGTTAACTTTTTAGCTGCAGCAAGTTAACTTTTTAGCTGCAGAAAGTTAACTTTTTAGCTGCAGCAAGTTAACTTTTTAGCTGCAGAAAGTTAACTTTTTAGCTGCGGCAAGTTAACTTTTTAGCTGCAGCAAGTTAACTTTTTAGCTGCAGAAAGTTAACTTTTTAGCTGCGGCAAGTTAACTTTTTAGCTGCGGCAAGTTAACTTTTTAGCTGCAGCAAGTTAACTTGACGATTAATCGAAATATAAATTTATAAAGTGGAAATATCAGCGTTTCTAAGAAAGACCCTGGGACCGAGGTCGCTCAAAGTGAAGTCAGTGCCTTTTTTATTGTTTTTCTGGGTTTGCAGCAGAAATATTTAACACTAATGTTGTCTGTACTGTATATGAAACTGAAGCTATTGAAAAACTCAATTTGGTATAGAAATTTCAAGACTATAATTTACCATTTTTGGCCCAATGGCAGTTGTTTTTGTATTTTTAAAATATTTATTTTTTGCTGAAGTCTTGAAATTTCCACACCGAACAGCAATTTTGAATAACTTTAGTTTGATATATAGCCCAACGTTTGGCGTCAAGTATACGCTTTTTGATAGCAAGTATAC